TTGTATGTTGTTTTTTGTATTGTTGTTGTTGTTGTATTTGTATGTTGTTGTTGTACTTGTATGTTGTTGTTGTACTTGTATGTTGTTGTTGTACTTGTATGTTGTTGTTGTTGTACTTGTATGTTGTTGTTGTACTTGTATGTTGTTGTTGTACTTGTATGTTGTTGTACTTGTATGTTGTTGTTGTTGTACTTGTATGTTGTTGTACTTGTATGTTGTTGTTGTACTTGTATGTTGTTGTTGTACTTGTATGTTGTTGTTGTTGTTGTACTTGTATGTTGTTGTTGTTGTTGTATTTGTATGTTGTTGTTGTTGTATTCATATTCATTTGTATGTTCGATTGCAACATGTACTTCTCGATCCACATCAACATTTAATTTACAGTTTTGTTTAATATATTTGACAGATTTCCTGACTGTGAGGATTTGTCCCCACCAATACTTCAACTCGACGAGGCAAGTTTCTAGATATGAGTGAAAATTTTAAAGCCTGATTTCCAGGCATTTTTTTGCGTCTTTTCCAGTTGACGTGAACAAATAACAAGTCATGTTTGAAGACTGCATACATAAGTCATCATCATTGTCATCATCATTATCATCATCATATCATTATTATGATTATCATCACCATCATCATTATTATTGTCATCATCCTCAATTTGTCCATTGAGAAGCATTTATTCGCTTGAAGCTCTAGTGTGAATTCAATTTATCGAACAACGGTTCTAAATCACTTTTCACCATCATCATCTTTCTCAGTTGTTCTTCATCAACATCAAACACGGAAGCTATCTTTCGTGGTCTCACAGAATAAAATTGTTTTTGGTGGTTGTCATTGGCTGATCTCATTACAACATCATTTCAACAGTATTTATATGCCCAGAATCTACTCGAATGTATGCCTGTAAAACTTGATTCTTGTTTTCAAGATTTTCATTTCCCTCCCCCCTCTTTAGGTTGAGGGGTTAGATGGGTTAGATGCCTCGGGTAGGAGAGGTTAGAATTGGGGAGGGGGGGAGGGTCAGGTTATCAATGTGTCTATTATAGATACAAAGTGAGCATATGATGATACACATCATACAAATGAATTGAAGAGGATGTATTGGAATGGAACCGATAATATGGCATGCATATATCTGTAGTTACTGAGATGTTTGCTCATCTAGCTGTTTCATTAACATATAACTAGAAATTGATTTCTTAATGTTTCAGGTGTCATTCCATTACACGAAAGACAAAGTTATATTTGAGAAAGTGTGTATGTCTGCAACCATGCAATCAAGAATCGCAGTTGTAAGTTTGCTTGTGAATATTTTCATCCTTTGTGTAGGTTTTAATGTAAATCCTGTAAAAACGTTTTGTGTACCTAATTTTTATTTCCTATTTCCTATCAAGTTGCAAAATGATAAGGCGATTTAAGAAAAATTCCTGAAATTAAAGTAAAGTGTTTGAGTCAGTTTCATTACAAAAGATAAAACCACATCATCAGAAATTCAGGGATTAAGAAAATCATCGACCGTGCATGTTTCACGGCTAAGCAAAAAATCACGCTTGAAACGAAAAATATAGGGGCCTGCCATGCAAGACATCAACAAGCAAGCAGAAAGGCAAACATGCCAGCAACGAAACAGACTTGTGAACGAATCATTGCAATGTTGGCCGCGTGGTATAAGTGTATCTTGAGTGTATATGACTATATAATCATTAATAGTTTTGTTTGTGGAAACACCACGTACATTTATATAAATAAAATAATTATAATAAATATATAATATAATAAATAATGATAATAATAATTTATATAATAATTTTTTTTTATATAAATTTACGTGGTGTTTCCACAAACAAAACTATTATATTTTATCACGATGCAAACATACAAAGAACTTATATATAATCATTGTTAATGTCATAACAAGAAATTTGAAACTGGTTTGACTCCTTCATCTCAGGTCGGAGAGAACGGAGCTGGTAAAACGACGTTATTAAAAATATTACTTGGAGATCTGGAACCAGTTAAAGGACTTCGACATATGCATAGGTGAGTTATCTTAGATAGAAGATAATTCGTTCATTCAATACAAAAACACTTTGCAGTCAAAGACTGCATGAATTACGTGAATATATTTACAATCAGTGATACCTTCCGTCCATTTAGAATGTTGGAGAAATCCTACAATATTAAAGTCTTGAAATATATAAATTAATCTATCAAATAAGATAAGAAATAAATTACAACTAGGTTTATATATATAGTTTAAAAGCTTTACATACTTGAGCTATGGTTAATGATAAACGAGTTTTTTAAACGATCCGTCTTACAAACAGGCACATTAAAAGTTTTTGCATGCATTCCTCAAGTCTCTATGGTGAACTGCTTGAGGTGGAAGTAGGCCAGCAAGCTTATGACCTTATTGTTAACAGTGTCCTTGAATGGATCACATGATAGCCTGTCACGTCTGTCGGAGAGGGAATACCCAACTCTTTAAGCGCACCACTATAATTTAGATCTGGAAAGACAGTGCGCATGGCGTGCTTTTGACTACGTCTGACAAGTAATTAGGAAGACTTCGATGGAACGACTGACACGAATGTTCTATAGGACTGATCTAATAATGCTACAATAAAAAAATTATAATCTTGTGCCATCGCCTAATTGATAATAGGTTTTCTCCAAGCAATCTGGTTTTCTTGTTTATAATAACAATACACCGTTCAGCGGTACAGGAATAATGGGTCACTAAGGAAACAGTTGAAAAAATAATAAATTGGGCGAAAAGTTACTTTAACTTAGTTTGGATCATATAGTGTATAATATGTAATGTATTTTTTCTTCGTTTTACAGAAATTTGAAATTGGGATATTTCAGCCAGCATCACGTGGATCAGTTGAGCATGAATACGAATTCTGTGCAATTATTGCAGTTAAGATTTCCAGGTAATTATACAATTGCCGTCAAATGGTACCGAAATTTTTACTTCCCCGTGCACGCAACATAATCTAAAAATAATCCACCTCAGTACAAATCCCACCATGATCAAGCAGTTTTCTACTTGCTTGGTGTGGACATCATTTGGAGGGCATCAATCCATATATATGTAATCTACCGGAGCATATATAAATCCCACCATGATCAAGCAAGCTTCTTGTTGTCTAGTCTGGACATCACTAATTGGAGAATATCGTTAAATTTATTAAATTCTGGTGCAGTTATCACAGGGTTCGTACAGGTCCTGGAAAACCTGGAAAGTCATCGAATTTCAATATTCCAAAATCCAGGCCTGGAAATCCTGGAAAATCAATTTTAGTCATGGAAAGTCATGGAAAATTGAAATTTACAAAACATCAAATTTCAATTTACCAGTCATAACAATAATATGAATTGTTGTTATACCGTGTATAACGGATTTTTGCAAGAACGAAGTGAATTTTGTTCTTTTATTATATCTGTTATCGTTAAAATATTAACGAATTTCAGAAATTCCAGATTTCCAGGTCATAGATTTTGAAAAAATGGTCATGGGAAGTCATGGAATTTTAAATGGGAGAAGGTGTACGAACCCTGTTATCAGTTCATAAAACCATAGTGTTATTCTTTAAATCGATGTCAAAATACGAAATTTCAGCAGATGCATGCACTTCTTGCTAAGATGGCGGAATTTGAAGCCGTTCATGGACGTCATTTCCAGTCCCTTTCTATTGTTTTTTTTGCGCGGTTAACACGAAGCTGGCTTCACGTTTTGGACTCCTGATATATGGAGCTCAATGGTGCAGCTAGGGTTGAAACCGTTGACAAACTTTCATGCTTTTCATAACTTTCAATCCCTCGGTACGTAACACTTTGTTTTTCCAGTAAAAGATTAAACAGTTAAATGTAGAATTCATCGAGGCTATGGTTTTAGCCCAGATCATGGCAAGGTTTGCCATATCCAACGTATGTGTCTCTGTCGAGCTTATTCTTAGGCCAATGTAGACACACGATGGAATGGATAGCACCACAACACAAGCGACGGCTAGCAGACAACTCGATATATTTTTCAAAGAAAACCTCTTCTTCATAACGGGTGCAATTCTTCTATTTCCACGACTTTTCCTGACGACTAGAAACAGTTTGTAGTTGATAAATAACATTGCAGGAATGAAAAAAACAAAAAAAATTACAGCATGCACTTGCATGGGCAAAACAAAGATATTTACAGATATCACTCCCAAAATTCCTTCGACGATGATCAGTATTGCAAGAAGAGTTAAAAGTCTTCCCTTCGTTACCGATGTTCGATGAAAGATGGGATAAGATGTCGCCAAATATCGATCAAAATTCATCACCAAAAGAGCGAGTAAAGAAAAAGTAAGGAAGCTTTTTGTCGATTTTATGGAAATATGAGCCCATCTAGCATTGACATCCAACTTTTTAGTCAACCATAATATAGCGATAACGGCTTGCAACGGACTATTTGTTATTACCGCGAGCAAATCGCAACAAGATAAAACCATTATCATGAAATAACATAATTTCTTTCGAAGTTGTACAGACCTCCAGAAACTGATTATGACCAAGGAATTTAAACATATTCCTGAGAAAAAGAAGCATACGTTCACAGCAAATATGAATATCAAATTGATAAAATAATTTAATTCCATCTTCGAGCGACTTCTTCTGAAGAATACTAGAATAGAACATAAAAATAACGCAGTTGTGTTTTTGAAGTATGACATCTGCCTCGTAAATTAACATGTCTGACTAAAGTGTGTATATATAAATGACATAATAAGTACTATACATTTCATTATCATAATATGATCATATGAAGAAAAGACAATATGCCGGCCCTTATTGACCTCTACTCTAGGAAGAACATGCAGTTTACAACTGATAGACCTATCCAGTGTAAATGAAGTTAGCTTAGTAGTATATGTTTCCTCCTGTATCAACACTGGGTCAATCAGAGATGATTCTTACTGGACCTCTATAGGAAGAACAGTTTAGAACTCATAGAATTATATCTATCCACCATAAATAAAGTTAGAGCTTAATTTAGATTTGCTGCTGTTGTTGATGAAAACAAACTTTCATTTATATGTCTCACCCTTCGCTTAAGTTGTTTTACAAAATTGCAAACTAATGACTATGCCATGCACAGGTGTTTAACTCTATGTTTTTACAAATTAGTTGCCTCTGGTGGTCTTTGTGTCTCAGCATATAGACAGCTAAATCTTTAGATTTTAAACAACGCTTTATGACATGGGTTTTCAACTTGGGGGACATGTCCCCGAGAGGGGACATTTGGCAAATTCCTAGGGGACACAAACTGGTCTCGGACTGAGAAAACAATAGTTGAATACAATAGTTGAATACAATAGTTTGTACTATAAACATGTTTGCTTGACTTTCTATCTATTATTTAAAATTTAAATCATTTACTATTTTACTAACTATTTCGAAATTCGTGTTTTTGATAGACTTCAGTGGGCAATTTCTGTTCAGGGAACGTGGTAATTCAATCATGTGAAATCGGGGACACATGAGAAAACCAGTTGAAAACCGTTGCTTTATGTGATAATTGGTAGCAAAGGATGAATTTTTTTGTTAGATTCACCGCATTGTATTTGTAGGACATAATCATATAAAATATGCTAAATGTCACGGTATTTGCCGACAGAACAAATAACAGAAAATGAGAAGAGACTACAGGAGAAAAAGTGGGATGGGTTGTGCATTTTAAGTGTAATAACCAGTCCTAGCCTTTCATTGTTTTAATATATTTGTGTTATTAATGACCAAGAACAAGAACAAGGCTTAACATTCTTTTTAAAAACAGTGTTTCGGATCAGTTCACTCAGGTTAAAAGACTACATACAGCATATTGTCTAAACAGCTTGCGTTTTAATATTGCTTGGGTTAAAATTTGAAAAACAAACTTTCATTCACATGTCTCGCCCTGCTCTTAAGTTGTTTTCCAAAAGTGCAAACTAATAATTATACTGAAACAGGTGTGTTTAACTTTATATGTTTTATTCATAGACCTAGATATGTACTTTGTATAACTTTAGATATAACATCTTTATATACGGCAAAATATTAATTTAGAAAAACCCGCAATATTTAAGACCATGTTACACGAAGCAATTTTTGCTGCAAGTTGTAACTCAATTTTGGGCACCGAGCACCGTTTGTTGCTACGCAACGGCCACGGTGATATACGACTTCATAGAAATAATGTATACAGAATGCATATAAACTCCTATCTTTTCTCAGTCAAGATTTTGTCTCCACAAGATGGCGGATTTGCAATTTGGCTCGCCCCAGATTCGCATGATTGCAGGATTTTTCAACAAAGTTTGCAAAACATATTTAATATCGAGACTTAAATAGAGAATAATACATGGGTGCGCGGAAATACCAGATTTATTTCGAGTGTTGAACATGATATCTCACGAGTGAGCGCAGCGAACGAGCGAGATATCATGTATTCAACACGAGTTCAATATCATGTTTACGTGTGTTTAAATACGATTTTTCTCAGTGGCCAAAAACTGTATATAACACTTATGTTTATATAATAAAATGGATTATAAAGGTGATAAACGGTTTTGAAGAACCCATTTAATAGAGAACATCACCAAATGCATGAAAATACATATATCATGCATGCTCTGAAATATATATCCATGCTCTGCACATTATGCGTGTAGTTCATAACGTAAACTTAAGTAATATGTATTTGTATTTCCAGGAAAACCTGAGGAAGAATATCGCAGGCAACTCGGTTCATTTGGTGTTTCTGGTGAACTCGCATTACGACCTATAGACAGTCTGTCTGGAGGTCAGAAAAGTCGTGTTGCTTTTGCTATCCTGGGGATGTTGAGGTATGGTACGAAAAACACTACATCATGCAGAGAGAGTTTTTGTTACTCAGTTTTTAATTATGTAACTTTCTTTGTACATTCCGTATGTTGCAGTTTATATGCACTCGTGTATGCGTATGTGAATATCTTGTTTTTATTTTTATTTCAGACCGAATTTTCTTATACTGGATGAACCCACGAATCATTTGGATATGGAAACGATTGAAGCCTTGGGGAAATCACTTTTGAAATTTCAGGTATACGAATATATTATTTTTTAGAGTCGTGATCTCTATAATGTTTGCGCCCGTTAACTTTGTTGAAATCGTCCGGTTCCAGGACTTTCCAAGTCCTTGAAAATCAGTAGAAGTCTTTGAAAGTCCTGGAATTAATTTCCCTAATTACCTCGAACTGTGCCAACATTAGTGATTTTGATTGAAATTACTGAATAAAGTGAATTATTTACAGAAAATCCCTGCCATTTTCAAAGATTTTTCCCAGTTCTAATGTATAGGTCCTTGAATTTACTGAAAAAGGGCCTTGATAGTCCTGGAAAAGGTCTTGAATTTCACCTTCGCCAAAGGGTGAACACCCTGTTTATCACGTACAGAGTGTCCCAAAAAAAGGTGATACTATATAGAAATTGTCCTATTATAATTTGAATGCCTAAGCACTATGCTCAATACAAGAGTGCGTAAACACAATTAAATTGAATTTTTTATTACCAGGCGCAAGAAATCCTGTGGCCAACAACAATAGGATAATTTCTATAGCGTCACTTTTTTGGGGACACCCTGTATAAAACCATGGATAATAAAATAAATGGATAGGAAACTAGCTGACGTGCATGACCTAATGTTTTCAATGGGCTGATGGCGTGATTGGATGTTGAAACCTAGTTGCAAACCAAATTCTCAAAAACGGCATGTTTAGCAATAATACAGCTAAACATTTTAGTCAAAGAGCAAATGAATATAACTACGCCATTCTACGATGAAATCTCTAAGTATTCCCAGTCAATTTTAGCAAATATTTCAAGCACTAAACAGTGAAAAAGACATCCCAAATTTCATTAAAATTGGGGACGCCAATTTCGTAGCTACAAATGTAAAAAAATACAAAACAAAGACGAAAAACATTTACCTTGAATACTTTGTCGTGGCTTAGGCATGTTTTTAAAACAATTAGACCGGTTTATTCTTCAATATTGCTCTTTTAAGGCGGAAAATATAGCGAAACAACAAAAATGCAGAGAACTTTGCAATACGCGTGACGTCACAGATTGCAATTAGGTTGTTTTGCTTACGTCAGCGAGAGTCCTATCCATTTATTTTATTATTCATGATAAAACCATCCACATGGTAGTGATTTCCTTCGTCTTTTCCTCGTGAATTATTAATGAGTTTTTCAATGCTTTTTCCCCCATAGGGTGGCGTTATCTTGGTATCCCACGACGAAAGATTAGTACGAACTGTTTGTAATGAAATTTGGGTTTGTGGACAGAGAAATATACGTTCTATCGAAGGAGGATTTTCTGAATATAGACGTATTTTAGAAGATGAATTTAAAAGATTGTAAATTTCGGAAATTAATGCAAAGAAATTTATATGTAATTAATTTTTTTGCTGCCTGTTTTGTTTGCGTTACAGCCGTTTTGAGCATTCCCAAATTCGAAGAAATGACAAGCAGTTGCCTATTGTCTCCACTTTACCACTGGAAAAAAGACCAACACATAAAGACCAATAGCCTCCTGCGCAGACGTTGTTAGTGGCCGAGGCCATAAAAGACCAACCGCTTTATTTTTTGTCCAATTTTGCCCATTCTTTTAGATTTTGAAACAAGATTGTTTTCTTTATGTCCGATTTCTGCCTCTTAATTAGTTTTTGGAAAGGTGGTCAAAATTGGCAAAAAGTAAAGCCTAACCCCTTTACTTTTTTCCAGTTTTGGCTTTTTGTTTTTGAAAAAGTGGCCAAAATGGCGAAAAAGTAAAGCGTACCCCGTTTAGTTTTTGGGCATTTTTGGATACTTTTTAGCTTTCAAAAAAGTGGCAAAATTATAAAGGTTACAAGCATTTACTTTTTGTCCAACTTGGGCGACTA